AGGCTTATGTGCTGTTTCTACATCACACCCTCAGAGCCCTGTGATTGGAAGGGGACTCAAGGAAATATCACAGTCACTGGCCAGCTACAGATGTTGCCCCCCCCCCCGCTCCCCCTCTCTCTTTTAAGTTTCTGTTCCCTTAAAAGACTGCCTTCCTATTCTTTTTCTGAATCTTTTTCAAATTAATTCAGAGGCTCTGAGCCAGTTTGGAGGGGGTGTTTTTTTGGTCTGTCAGTTTGATTCAGATTTGGTGATTTGGCCTCTGAATCAGGCCGAATCTTCTGTGAATCAAATCAGCAACCAAAGCTTCGCACACCCCTATTATCTACACCTGTGCTCCGGGATTGGGTGAGAGGGGGAGCATTTTAATTTGAATGGCTCTGGGACAGCTGCTCTAATTGAATGCTACAGCATCACATGTATTCAGTGCCCCAGGTTTCAAAATGACTGAGGGAATGTTTTAACTAAAGGTTGTTCAACAACTTTTAGTTAAAGCACCCCCACTGCCATTTTGAAATGTGGGACACTGAATAAATGTGATGGTGAGGCACACTGGAGCATTCTAATTAGACTAATTGAGTCTGCTTCAGTACGTTCTAATTAGAACACATCAGAGCACATATATAGGCACCCTAAGGTTATAGATTTGCAGCTTTCTCAACACTGATTGATTGTGAATGCAATATTTAAAAGCTGCTTTTCAGATGCTTAATAATTCTTCTTAGAGCCCGCATACTGCAAACCATTAAGTAGAGTAGTTTTGATGATCCACACCAATTGTCCACTGAGCACAACTTTTTAGATGTGTTTTAGTTCCTAACCTGAAATTTAGTTCACTTACCTTTCTTAGTGGTGCATTATGAATTGGGTACCTTGACTTCTGTGAGAGTGTATTACAGGTTAAATTTGTATTAGTCATTTTTTCCTTCCATTTCCAATTCTCTTTTATTTACTTTTTTTGTCATGTATAAATTTAGCTATTGTTTTTTTTCCCTGTAGTTACTGATAATATATACATTTTAAAGTTTTGTTTTTTTTAAATCTAGTAAAGCTTTCAATGATTGCTCTGAAAAAAAACAAAAATAGAGAATAAGAAACAGAAACTTAAAATAAGCTGTGCGAAAGAGTGGCTAGAACTAGGCTTCTTCACATTAGAGACAGATTTTGTCAAGTGCGTGGGTTGAGATTGGGTGGTAGCTTGCTTGCTTCCTTATGAAATATGCTTAACAATAGTTTGGCACATTGGTATCAAGCAGAGATAAACACACTATTAGTAAGCATCTCAAAAAGGCCCATCCATGATTGTGAAAGGGCAGTTATATAAAATGAAACATGCAGTCCTGAACTTTCCTCCATGCTACATCAGTAGCACCATAAACTGTCAGTTTGTCAGGCCACTAGAGGTATTTATGAAATCAATACACAATCCTAGAGATTTATAGAGGCAGTGTTGTTAGCTAGAGGAAAGTGGCTCAATGAAAAATAAAATTAATACAATATACAAGCAGATTGTCATAGAAAATGGATGAATTTCCTGCAATCTGCTGGTTTTTGCCTGACTGTGGGAAATGTTGTTGAAGCATAGGGATAAATGGGAACGCAGCAGCATATATTAGCCTTGTTATTCTGTAATGCCATTAGGAGGATTGCTGTAAACTGGGCTTGTTTTTGAAGGTGATTTGAGGAAATGGCACAATAAATAATTGGACAGAATGTTAGAATATGAATTAGGTTTTTCTACATGCATTTTATATGAACTCATAATTTAACTTATTCAGATACTTTTTAGTTTGACTTCCAGCTTTTATTTATTCCTTTTCTAATTGCAGTTTGCTGCTCTTTCAAGATTAGCTCTCACCTTGCCTTATGTCATTCATATATCAAAGCTACTTCTCAGGGAGGTGCTTGAAATTTGTCTTAGGAAGAATTTACATTCACATGGGTCTGAAACATTCTTTAGGTATTCTGTTCCCCACGCTGGTTGCATATTCATTTGCGTATTTGGAAGGTCCATTTCCAAAGAACTAAGATTATGTCGCTGGACAGAGATAAGAAGGGGGAGGGAGGGTTGTGTTTGTATCAGTGTCAGAAAAACGTAGAAGGTCACAAATAATTTGGAGCTAGTTTGAAAAAGAGACTTACAGATAACAGCACATTTTTTGTTTGTGAGAGTCTGAATGAACAATTGTGGCTACTACAAGAATTTGGTGTAGACTAGATGACTGGTAGAAATTGAATTAGTCTGATGACAAGGACATAGCCCCCTTTTTTTTTCCTATCTGCCTGATGGAAAACAGAAGAAAGCCTTTGGTGACACAGCTTGACCTGGAATGTCAGTATGCGCTTTGTGAAATGCTCTGATTCCAGCCCAGAACCCCTGTCATTCACTAAAGCCAATTTGGTGGCGACTGGGAAGGGATCTCAGTGCAATAGAAAATCTTTTTGAAGAAAAAAATATCTGGTGGTCAGCACTCTGATGGTTGCCACTTAGCTTTAATCATCATTTGGAAAGCCAGACTGTCAGCCTTAAAACAGGGCATATTCCTGACCTAACACATTTAAAACAGTCATTATAATGACCATGCAAATTGATGATGACATTGGTAGCATCCTGTTTCTGTTCATTTCTTGCTTGGATGATATCCTCCTCCTCTTCTTCAGTCTTATCTTCACCCATCCCTATAGCCTACCCCTCTCTTTCCTTGTTCTCATCTACCACACTCATAGCTCATGCTCCTAATCTTTTCCCCACAGCAACATTCTCCCCTCCCCACCGTATTCCTTTGCTTTTTAGCCAGGTTACATCCTCCTCCTCCAAGCTGACTGGGTGCCACCAGGGGGAGCATTGAGAGCACAGGAGCAAAACTCCTTGTTCCCAATTCCAATACCCAGTTAGGGTATATACAAGTGTTACATTTTGATCACCCTAACCAAGCTTAGGATGATCTAAGTGGCCCAACATGCAAGTGTTTAAAGGACTTAAAGGCAAGGGCAAGTGTTTAAAGGGCTTAAGGGCTCAGAATTCAGAGACAAACTAACTTTACATTGGCCTGAGTTAACCCAGTCTAAAATGGGTTAACTCGGCCTAATGAATGCCTGCTTACATTCACAGCATAGCCCCAGGACTGGGAAAGCCAAGCCACTTGCCACAGCTGGGAGCTATGCTGTTTTTATTCCCTCCCATCCAAACTATCCCCACAGACCCACCAATTCCACTCCACTTCCCAATCCTTTCCCCCAATTTACCTCCAGCTGCCCGCACAAAGCCTGCTCGTGACAGGTTTAGGTGGCTCAGAGTAAACTGCCTAATCTGAGTGGGGCCATTCAAACATTTGTTTGCACCCTTACAGTCCCCAGGTTTAGGAGGAGCAGTCACAGGACTAAGTCTTGCCCAAGCCTCCAGGGTTAGGCAGAAGTCTCCCCTGCATGTTTGTTTGGATAAAGTGGAGGTTGTTATTTCCATTTCAGTAGCTAAACAAAAACTTGAAAAACTGAGTTTTGGTGTAGGTAGACCTGGAATCATTTATTTTCTGCCACCCTGATCCCCAGCAAAACAAAATACCGAAACAATAGCAAAACAAACAGACAAAAAAAGCAACCATTTTGGCCTGGCCTGAAGTGTTTTGTTTTGAGCTCTGTAATTTTTTACCCCTCTTTTTTTATCCAGAGTGTATCCAGAGTTAAAATACTGTTGTGCTTCAACATTAACAAATATGATTCTACGTTTTATTTCATCAAAACTGTTCACCAACTTCAGCCTGAATTTGAAAGTCATTTTGCTTCCCCCAAAATGGCATTTTTTTGGCTAATTTGCAATCTGCCAACAACATTTCCCTTTGCTTCCATGCAGGCCACTTTGTGAGGGTGGTGCATGCATACTCCAAAATCTAAAAGAGTTGTGAGGGGATCAAGGCAGATGCAATTTTTTTAAAAATTGCTGATAGACTCTAACAAACAAGTTTCTGAAATGTGCACACTGCCTTTTGGTGGGGGAGGTTTAATAGCAATAAAATAGGTTTGATACTTAATCGGTCTGGTAAAATACACATCACCCACCAGGATCCCCTTCTGTATTTCAAGTCCCTGTTCTGTGGGATGGGGGAATTGGACCTTCTCTATTTTTTCTTTACTTTTATTCTTCAAAATAGTTGGACAGCTTTAGCTAAAATTTCCTTCAGACTTTCCGTTTAAGATGTATACTCTGGACTTTATCTTGGTTTGGTAAAGTTAAAATCAGCTTATTAAGATCCAAAAGATATTTGCTTCCGATTGTAAGATTTTACATTATGTGCCTTGCTACCTATAACACTTAAGGCAAATTTTATGATTCTAAGTTAATCAGTTTTGCAGCATTTTAAGGAGAATGAAAAATGGAGAATGTTCTATAGTAAACACATTTAAACTGTTTTATTGGAGGTTAGAAAATGCTGTATTTCTAATTGGCATTTGGCATATTGCCTTCTAAAGGAAGCTGTTTAAATATTTATCAGCTTAACTAGGAATATATTTAAGGAATTTATTTGGAAAACTTTTTTTTACTATCCCCTCCCCCAATTTCTTCCTATGGTAGTATCTCCAACATAGAGCAGCGTATGTTCAAATCCTACGTTTATTTGATCATTGAAAAGTTCAGCATTTTTTTTATTTTTGAAAGCGCTATTAAGCTATTAGAAGCTCTTTTAAAATATTTAAAAGACATTTAAATTACAAGACTAAAAATTACTACAAATTTTGTGGCAGAAAATCACATTGATTTGACAGTTTGTAAAGACCATGCTTGGCCATGTACTGGAATTTCTGGCACTTCCCAAATTCTCAGTTTCGGTATGGATATGGCCATTTTTAGCAAATGCCTCTCCTCATTTAAAAGGCAGCGAATAGTGTATTTATTTCATTGTACTCTGACAAGTCTTAGGGAGACCTAACTTGCCAAACATTATCACAAGGTAGTTTTGCGTTCTCTTTTGTTAATATGATGTTTTGTCTTTTCTCTCATTTAGAGATCTAAGTGAAAACCAGATAAAAGGAATCCCCAGAAAGGCCTTTCGAGGAATCATCGATGTGAAGAACTTGTAAGTGACAACTTCATTAGTGTTTCTCGTGAAGCGTATTCTCTGTGGGCCTCACACTACTGCTGTTATTTATTTGAGCATCACACGTGTGCTCAGCTCTGCACAGAATACAGAGGAAAATAAGAGTCCTGCCCCAAGAACCAGGTTACAGTCAAAGAACAGTCATTTACTGCTGTAACTCCCATCGTATCAGTGGGAGTGCTCAGCAGAGCCGCAGATTATATTCTTATATTTAAAGGCTCTACTAGGCCAGCAGCACAAAATCTTACTCTGAAATCACAGGCTATGTAGTGAAGTGTTATCTGCCTAAGGGAAAAAAAATACAATAGATCAGTTTGAAATTGAAAGAGAATGGCATCAGGGTTTCAGCTGAAATCTTTCATTCTACAGCTTAATTTGGAAAATGCAGGTAATTATATTACAGGGCATAGGTCAGGGCTACACAGATCAAGCATAAATTTCAGAGCAGGGAAGGTGAGAAAATGGTATGACTTTGTGAGGCATAAGAAATTAACTTGATGAACAGGTTTATTTTTCTTTCTGCCATTTGCATTCCCATCCTGTGTTTATAATAAAAAAGCCATTAAAGGGGGAATGTGTTTTTGTTGTTTGGTAATAAATTAGTCTGAATTGGTTTGGCCCTTGCCTTTCTCTAAAACATGTAATGGAGAAATGTGGTTACATAAAGATTTCCTGTTCTACATTCCCATGACTGCAGCAGAGTTACCCATTAGCCATTTATGCTAAGTTGTCATTGTGTCAAAATCATACAGAAGAATCGCCCAGTCATTGCCTCTATTAAAGACAACACTAGGACATCTTGAGAGAAACAGTTACATGGAGCAAGTTAACAAGGAGGCAGGGATTCAGCCTGCACCACAATGTAAGCTGCTTTCTACACTTTCGGAGGAAGGATTTTTAATACTTCTAAGCTAAGCCCAACGTGTATCATATTTTATCATTATTAGTGTTAGCATGTGGATAATGCACAGAGGTCCCAGGCGGGGATCGTGGTCCTGTAGTCCTAAACACTGTAAGCATATATAATGGAAAAACTAGGCTTCCTCTGAGAGCTTTCAATCTACGAAGATGATGAGAGACCACAGGTGGATACAACAAACAGATGGGGGCCAGTATAAGGTAACACTGTGCTCATTATGCTTAATGCAATAAGCAGCAGCCGCAGCACAACTATACGATGTTATGAAGTGTTTTTGTGTCACTAGATACAGAATAACTGTGCAGTTTGAGTTTAAGCATGCTCAAATAGCAGCTTCTTTTCTAGAGACCAGACTTCTGTGAGCCGTGTTCAAGTGATCTGAATGGAATTAGCATGCAGCTGGCTCTGAGTATAGGCATAGGTCCTAAAACTGGATTTTATGGATATTTTGGTCTTCATTAGGGCCTGCTGCTATTAGGAGGTTTTGATTTCTAAGAAATTTAATTATATTCTAATTTTGAAACCTATCCTCTGCCCAGGTCAATTTAGAGGAAAGGTAGGGGGCAGCCAAGATGTGTGTGAGAAATTTATGCTACAGAAAAGGAAAGTAACAGGCTATGTGTAACCACATGTGTGGGACACGTCATAAATCTAGAGTTTGCAGACAACTGGCATTTTCAGTTTCCACATCAGAAATTCACTTGTAGTAATTTCTAAATATTTGTCCATGCAAAATCTGCAGAAGGATAGGCCTAACACAGGTATTCATAGCCCCAACTTTGCTGCTGTTAGAGACCATATTTTTCACCTGCATGTGTTCCATAACTGACATCAAATCACTTGAAGATTTCTGATTTCAGCTTCTTCAGGAAATTAAGGAATGAGCATGGAAGACAGCTAGTATCTTCTACCAAGAAATACCGCATGGTATCCTATGTGGAGAACACAGTGTTGTCTCTGTTCATGAAAATTCAGACAACCTGGTGACAGGGTGTTTTAAGCCTTCCCAGAGGCAATGTGTGTTGGCTACAGCCAAAGCTAGGGACTTTGACTGTAGTGTGCCAAAGGCTCATGTTGCGACCAAAGCTGGAAGTTTCTGTCTAGAGGGTTTTGCCCCTCTGCTCAGAGTCAGGAGATAGAGACAGACATTACACAGAAACAGGTTTAAGTAATCAGAAACTAGTTTAAACCTGTAACAGAACAGATGGTCAGTGTGCATAAACCAGTTTCAAAATGGCTGAAACTGGTTTGAGATAAACCTGGTAGAATGTGGTATCAGACTTAATTGATTTGGGTCAAACTGGTTTATGCAACATCTGTCCTAGACCCCTTGCTGGTTTAAGTGAATCCAGAGTCCCCCAGTATCCCAAATGCTTTGCAGCCCTGGGTGGGGCTTTGCTCTCTGCTCCAGAGAGCTGGACTGGGCCAGCCCCTCTGCTCTCTAGCCTGCTCAGGGGTAGAAGTATGGTCAGAAGCATGACTCCTGAGACAAAGGGAGTAGGGAGGGGGTTATTCCCCCCCCCGAGGGATTGCAGCTCCTGTCACCTATGCCCCCTCTCCCCACTCCAGTGCCAGAGGAGGGAGCATGGCCAAAGCTGGTTGGCATGGTCCTTACCATCCACCTGCTTTGCCAGGGGCTGAGGCTACAGGGCTGAACCCAGCTGGCCTGTGAGTGCTGCTGAGGGTGGAGGCAGAGGGGCCAGCCTGGGCTGGTCCACCAGGGAAAGGCCGTTCCCAGTGGGCTGCAGCTTGGGCTAGGACTGTGTGGCTCCCTGAGCTGGGCAGGGCTGTCATGGAGCCCCAGCTGGCTGGGAAGTGCCCTGTGGGGCCAGCCCGTGGGGGCGGGACCCTTCCCAGCCTGCTGGGGCTGCGTGACAGCCTGGCCAAGCAGCACAGGCAGGGGCTGGCTGGGGAGCAGGCTTCGTGGGCCAGCCCAAAGGTGCCAGTGGGCCCTGAGCTCAGCTGCTCCCACCACACCCCCTGTGCTGTGCAGCACCCAGGGCTGCAGGCATAGAGGCAGTTGTGGGCTGGCCAGGATGAAGGGCTGTTCTGCCTCACTCGCCTCCAGCTGCTGCTGCCATACCTCTTGGGAGGAGAAGCTTTAGCCCTGCAGCTTCTGCCCAGCATGTGAAGCTCAGGCTCCAGCCCCTGGATGCCTTGGAAGGTGTCCGGGTGGAAGATGTCTGGGGGCTGCAGCCAGAGCTACATGCACTGAGCAGAAGCCACGAGGCCCAGCAGGGCTGTTTTTTCTCCCCGCACCTCCAGCTGTGGCACGTGCTCCTGCCGTACAGCGCAGCACCACTCAGGGCGGGGGGAGCTTCCTTCAGCCCAGCAGTTTCAATCTGAGCTGAGTTGATGAGCTGTCCCTAGCCAGATGAATGACAGTATTTGGGGTCAGGAAGGAATTTTACCCTATGACCATATTGATGTGGGCTGGAGTTTTTTATCTTTCTCTGTAGTGGAGGGCATGGCCCTCCATCCAAAATCTCTTGAGTGTATATTAACACATTTGATAGAAGCAGGATGTTGGTTGCCATGGTTCTCCTGCTTTACCTGTAGGAAGTTAGCATGTCAGGTCTTTGTTGTGTCAGGGTTGATGGTAGTTTTATGTAGAGTTTAGATTATGGTTTGCATGGGATGGTTTGAATAGGGTTGGTCAGGCAGGGGGTTGGACTAGATGACCTCTGGCAGTCTCTTCCCACCGTACTTCTCTATGATTCTATGAATGAAAAAGATTCTCTGGGTTCCAGTTTACAGTTTTTTCAGGGCATAATCTTGAATGTGGAAAACCCTAATCAGGTTATGTCCAGGGGCTGAGGAAGTTCACATCCAAATGCCAAACATAACAGCAAAGCTTTGGAGCGAAGGGAAGATGAAGCAAAAGAGAAGAAACTGAGTACACCCCTTTCTCAAAATATATTAAATAGTTGCAGAATCTTATTCTTAGTATTTATGGCATGCTCACTGCTTTCCTTTTGTGCACAATACTGGGCTCCCTAACTTGAAATAAGGAAATGGAAGATCTAAAGAAATGTTATGGGTTATTGGGTTTATAACATGAACAAGCATTTTTAATGTCCATTAAGACTAGGGACAGAAATGATACGTAGACCAGTATAAGTGAAAAGAAACTGGTTCAAACCTGTAACACAGCATAAGTTCAGTGCATATAAACTGCTTTCAAAATGGCCAAAACTGGTTTAATATAAACCTGGATGGATGTAGTATCTGACTTCACTGATCTAGGTCAAATCGATTTATTGACCTTCTGTCCCAGATGTCCTTCATATTCAAGTTAGCTTGCAGTCCCCTAGCATCCTAGGGTGGGCTAGCCTTGGCCTAGACTGTCTGCTTCAGCCGTGCAGGGAAGCATGATCTAGTGCCCCCTGGCTTCTGGCCTGGGCCACTGCAGGCATGTGGCAGCATTTCTGGAATCAAAAGTGAATGTCTGTTCACTTGGCTATTGGTTCAATCTAGTCAGCTTACACTAACGTGCAAAGACCCTATCGATTCAGCCTCTGGCTTTTTGACTTTCTGTATTTAACCTAAGGCTGTGTTTCTACAATGATTTATCAGCATGATA